TCTCCCATCCACTTGACAATGGTATTCTTAACAACACTTTTTCCCGAGAACTCCCAGCCTCTTGAGTGTTACATGCAATTTTCTTGCTCTTTTTCAAATTGATAACTAACTGCACATGTTCCTCATCACTTGAATTGCCTGTTCATGTTAGAGGTGAGCATGGGACGGGTACCCGTACCGTTAGTACTAACTCTTTGTGTAACCGATAACCAATATCACTAAAAGTGATATCAATAAACCGAACCGATAAGTTCGGGTACCTAGACTTTGGGTACTCGGATTTTCGGTTCGGTTATCGGGTACCCAATAAGATATCCAATAATGATAATTAAACTTAATAATGTAGTTATTATGATATCATTTAACAATAATTAACAACAATACCACATGATTTTGACCAAATTATTAATAATATTACTAATCATTGATATTATAAAGTGTTATGAAGTAAAGTAAGAGTTTAGATTTTAGAAAAATAGATTTAAGTAGGAAAAAAAAAACAAAAATTGCTTCTCCGATCGGATCGGGTAACCGTTAATTTTAAAATGATACCCAATAACCATACCCGATAACAAATTATCGGAACGGGTACCCGAACCATTATGGTTATCGGATCGCGTACCCTAATTTTCGGAACGGTTATGGATCGGATTTTCGGTTTTTTGGGTAGTATTGCTCAGCCATAGTTCCTGTTCATAATCAACATCATTACTATCATCATTGTCCTCCTCAGATTCAGCTGGACTTAGCTGGATTTCACCCTTACTAACAACCCAATCATATTTCTCATACTCAACATCAGCACCATCACAGTCATTAATTGCAAAATCATGATCACTTTTAGAGTTATAACCCTCATTTTCAGTGTCATACCAATCATCTACATGTATGTACTCACATGACTGACCATCACCTCTCAAATCATCTAAATTCTCTCCAACTCCTCCCAAACCATCCACATTCTCTTCATCAACTCCCAACTCATCTACATTCTCTCCAACTCCCAAATCATGCACATTGTCTCCAACATCATCAGATGTACTTAGAAATTCAAGTCTAGACCTAATTTTGTTAAGCCTTTTCTAATACAAGTTACTTGATTTGGTGTTTAATATTGTTTTCTTACTCCTAGATGGTGGGTTAACAGACTGTGAGCATGGTTTGGGGACTATTGGAGTTTCTGGTTTTCTAGGGCTACTCCTAACTGGCCTTTTTGGTAAGAGTTTTTTCCTTTGTGTGGTTTTTGGGATAAGTTTTTGTGTATTTGATTGATTGTTTGCCACAATTGGCACATTTGGTTCAACTTGACTAGGGCCTTCAACAAAGGTGACTACTTTTTGTTCATCCACCCCAGGATTCACATACAATTCAACCATCCCATTCTCAAGACCCACTTTAACAAAATCTAACACTTCACTATCCTTCCATACGCTAACCAGACCCTTTTCCAAATCCAAACCAGGCAAACAATAACATATACAACATGTATTAGTGTACTTTACCCCCTCCTCCTTTAACATGGTTATAAATTTAAAGTAACTCACATAATTGGGGTCAACATTATCCCAATAATGCACTTCTCCCCCACTGTACTGCCAATCTGGAGACAATATCCCTCCATGATTAAGTTTAATAGTAAACTTATCATTGTCCATGACCTAATTCAATTTCGCAAACACACATGGAATCACAACCAAATCAACAATTTTTTTTCTATAATCAACACGCATGACAGTACAATTAAACAAAATAGCAAGCATAATTTAACTACATAAATTAAGCACAACCCCAAAAAATTCATTTTTTTCAGTACGCAATTCACCAAATTCAGCAAAAAATTGTTCGGCTAATTCAACATCATAACCACAATGCAGTGCAACAAAATAATTTTCTTAGTTAGAGTAACTCACAGTTGTTTTCCCAAGATGCTCCTGCCGTTGTTGACGTCTTCCGATTCTTATGCTGTACAACCATGGAGGTTTTGAATTTGGGTAGGTGGAAAATTAATGATCAGAGAGAAAAGAAAATAAAAAGAAAGAGAAACGACGGATTAGAAGAAGAGGGTCACGTGAGGTTTAGGTTTAGGATTAAAGGGAAAAAAATAAAAATTGTAATAGGGAAAGGCACGCGATGTACCTGCATATTTCGTGATGTTTTAGCTACTTCATAAACTTCAGAGTGCTCAGTGCACCTTTGCTATACTTCATAGTGTTGCGCCCAATTTTGCCAAAATTCAAAACAAAAGCAAGGGAGTCCTGGTAATAAAGCAAAAAGGTGATTTTTTTAAGCCTATATATACCCCCATGTGCTCATGAAATTTCTCACACAAAAGTCCAATTAAAATGTAAGAGCACAAAATTAAAAACCCCAAAAGCCTAACATTTTCTCTCTCTCCCACTCGCATCTCTCTCCTCCACGCACGACCACCGGAGATCTTGCCACCAGCAGTGACGCTGCCGATCAGCGACCAACGCTTTTATCTCTCTTCCCCTTGTGATTTTCCAGTTTGGTTAGACACGTGACAAACTTTGAGCTATGAGCTGATTTAGAAGCTTTCCATGTCTTTGGGCTTTGATTTTCATTGACTTAAGGCACAAATAGCCTTAACAAAAGGTTCATGGCTTTTAGAACCCAGTGAGATTCAGGTCCCAAAATGGTGGCCATTTTGTAACCCAACATCCGCCATTACCCAAACTTAAATTAGAAATTGTTAATTTGTTAGAATTATTAATTAGAAATCACCTTTTATACATTATGTTATAATTTTGAATGTATATGATTTGGTAACTGATTCAAAATTTTTAATTTCATTATTGATCACTTTATAAAAAAATATGACTTGAAAATGAAATTGTAATTAAAATTAATAGTTTATGCAATTACTTTTTTCAATAGTTTAAATTGATTGACTAAGTATTTTTTATTTTTGGATTGTAAAACTTAATTATAAATAGTAAACGTACAAATAAATGCCCTTAAAATTAATTTTGTATAAAACAGCTAGCAGCCAACCGCTATATTTACCAAAAAAAAGTTATTAATAGCCAACGATCAAACAACTAACATTAAAAGCCAATGCAAAACAGCTGGTTAGACCAACCAAGAAAAACAGCTCATTGCCAAACAAGGCCTACGTATTCAAGTATTTTAGTAAGGGGTTTTGTCGAATTATAGAACAACATCCTTCGATTGTCCCCATTAAGTGGCTTCGCCACTGCACGAATAACAATTGAAGTAATTGAGTAATTCTACCAAATTTCATTACGTGAAATGCATATTTAATTGCATAAATAAATTAAAATCTCCCTAAATTCAAAACTCAAGTGTTTCTCTCTCCACAACAAGAGTTGACTCATGAAATTAGCTCAAGTGGTTAGCAGATTGATGTCACTTAAGAAAAGTCTTAGGTTCAAACCTCACCATATGCATAAACTTTTTTTGGGACTTAGAAAACTCACCCTTTATAAATCAGATAGGCTAGATTGATACAATTGGAGCTAAGTTCTGAAGAATCAAGTGGACTTCCTTAAAAAAAATTGGCTTTTTCTCTCCTCTTGTTATGAAATATTAAATGTGGATGACTATTATCCCATGTATTATCTAGAATATTCTAGAGTTGGGTATTTGATTTTATCCGATGATGGAACCCTAGATAATATACATGTATATATATCCCCACTCTATGGAATAATAAACTGATCTATTCTCTCTCCATCTCTCATATTTTCTCCTTATTTTTATAACACGTTATCAGCACCATTGCTCTAGATTGATTTCAATATCAATTGAAGCATCTCAAACAACAATCAAAGTAACTACCAACATACTCTCAAATTTTTCCCCAATACTGCTACCTCTTGATTTCACGAACACCAACCAAAAAAGTAATTTCCCAAACCCCTCTGCCGAAACCACCGTTGCTCTGCCGATACCACCGATTCTTGTTCGTTGGGCTTGTTTGTACTCGTTCTTGCACTCTAATTTTAAGGTAACTAGTACTATCTCTTAGATTAGATTTCACCTAGTTTAGAATGCATGATTTAGGCTTACCTTGTATAAAATCGGTTTTTAATTTGACGAAATTATGGACTGTTTTCCCCCTACCGATTTTACGCGACTTATGTGCATCATGAACTTGCTATCTTCTAGTTTCTTGTCTAATTTTCAAGAATCAAAATCCATGTATAAATTATGATCATTGTAGTAGATAGCTATTTGTGCATTTCGGTTTCGTGGTGTATTTATATCACTTGGATTTGATGATTTCATGGGGTTTATGTGAAACAGGGAGTTGACTTTCATAACTTATAATGATTAAATTAGTTGCTTGAATCTTAGTTTAATTGGGTCATGGTTTTAATTGATATAATTGGTGTTTTGTGAAGTATAGAATGGTTTCGAGGAGTAATATAGAGTGAGTTGTTGCCTGCAATTTGTGTGAAAATAGCATTGGATTATTACTCTGATTATCACTTTAAATATCATGCTAGGAGTTCATGTCATGTAATGTATTTTCAATTATTTATTTTGAACTATGAGTAGTGATTAATAAGAAAAAAAAAATATTAATGGAGAATGGAGTAATTAAGTTTGAAATGTTTGATCTTTATGAAATGGGTATGTTTTTTGGGGAAGAGAGAGAAAAGAGAAGTGAGAAGGGAAGAAAGACAAAAGAGGTGCTTTAGTAGTGTGTATAGACTGACACACCGAGCAAGGCAGCAACTAGTGTTGCTTGATTCTTTCTCTTTTTGTTTTTAATAATATGGACTGCCAATATTTATATATGTTATAATTTCATCTTAGTTCCTAATTTATAATATTGTTTTATATATCAGTGAATCATGTCAAACCTTGCAAAACTCGAATTTGTTGCTCTTGATATTACTGGAAATAATTATCTGTCTTGGGTGTTAGATGCTGAAATACACTTAGATGCAAAGGGACTTGGTGATACTATTAAAGAAAACAATACTGCAACAAGCCAAGATAAGGCTAAAGCTATGATATTCCTTCGCCATCACCTTCATGAAGGCCTTAAGACTGAGTACTTGACTGTTAAAGACCCACAAGTCCTTTGGAGTAATCTAAAGGAAAGGTATGACCACCAGAAAACTGTGATATTACCAAAGGCTCGTTATGACTGGTTACATTTAAGATTACAAGACTTTAAGTCTGTGAGTGAATACAACTCAGCCATGTTTAGAATTACATCACAATTGAAATTATGTGGAGAGAAAATCACGGATGCAGAAATGTTAGAAAAAACATATTCTACTTTTCATGCAAACAATGTTGTCCTGCAGACACAATACCGTGAAAAGGGTTTTACAAAATATTCTGATTTGATATCTTGTCTCCTTGTGGCTGAGCAAAATAATGAACTATTAATGAAAAATCATGAATCACGCCCAACTGGCTCTACTCCATTCCCTGAAGCGAATGCGACATCCCATAGTGGGAAAGGGCAAAAGGCTAGAGATCATGCCAGCAGTCGTGGTCGAGGCCGTGGTCGAGGTTGTGGTCGCGGCCGCGAACGTGGACATGATCGTGGTCGAGGTGGTCATTTTAAGAACTCATACTCTCACCAGAAGTGGGACAATAAAAATGGAAATAAGAATGAGAAGGATAAATATGAAAATATATGCTACCGTTGTGGAGGAAAAGGCCATTGGTCTCGTGTGTGTCGTACACCAAAACATCTAGTAGACCTTTATCAACAATCAATCAAACAGAAAGGAAAGAAAGTGGAAACAAATTTGGTGTACGAGGATGGCGAAGGTGATTTTGATTACGGTGATACAACTCACCTGGAAGCGGCTGATTTCTTTCCTAATCCTGAAGAAAATAATTGAATAAATTATGTCCCATTGGCGAATAAACTCTGTTAATTAGCTTGCATTTATTATAGAATTTTATCGTAGTACTATGACTTTATGGTTTATGGAACATTTGTTTTTGGACAATTTTATGTTTTTGGACATTTTATGTTTCGCATATTTCATTATTTAATTTAAGATATTTGATTTAGTGAATCTTATTTTAGTTCCTTTAATTCTATTAGAATGTGAATCCCTTTGGAGCTCAATCATCGACCATTGGTGAAGATTTATGTCTAGTTGATAGTGCTACCACTCACACCATACTTAAAGAAAAGAAATATTTTTCACAATTGGTGATGAAAGAGATTAGTGTGAGTACTATATCAGGTAGTACAAGAATTATAGAAGGCTCCGGAAGAGCAAATGTATTATTGCCAGGGGGAACAAAATTGGAAATTATTGATGCATTATACTCCCCTAAGTCTCAAAGAAATTTACTAAGTTTTAAGGATATTCGAAAAAATGGATATCATATTGAGACAATTAGTGAAGGAAATAATGAATTCCTTCAAATCACAAGTATAACTCAAGGCAATAAACTTATTATGGAGAAATTACCTACATTCTCTACTGGTTTGTAATATACAAAAATCGATACAATTGAATCACATGCTATAGTAAACCAGAAGTTTACTGATGACTTCAAAGTTTGGCATGACCGGTTAGGCCATCCCGGTTCAATAATGATGTGAAAAATAATCGAAAATTCATGTGGACACTCATTGAAGAGCCAGCAGATTCTTCATAATAATTTTTCATGTGCTGCTTGCTCAATAGGCAAGTTAATACTCCGGCCATCACCAGCTAAAATAAATTCCGAATCAATTACTTTTCTAGAACGTATACAAGGGGATATATGTGGACCAATTCATCCCCCGTGTGGGCCATTTAGATATTTCATGGTTTTAATAGATGCATCAACTAGATGGTCACACGTATCATTGTTATCAACTCGCAACCTGGCGTTTGCGAGACTACTTGCTCAGTTGATCAAATTACGAGCACATTTTCCAGACTTTCCTATTAAAGCTATTCGTCTTGATAACGCTTGTGAATTCACATCCCAGGCCTTTGATGAATATTGCATGTCAATCGAGATTAGTGTTGAACATCCTGTAGCACATGTTCACACACAAAATGGTCTTGCGGAATCGTTAATTAAACGTTTACAATTGATTGCTCGACCATTACTTATGAAATCTAAACTCCCAATCTCTGCTTGGGGGCATGCTATATTACATGCAGCAGCACTAATTCGCATCAGGCCGACAAGTTATCATAAGTTCTCCCCATCACAACTGGTTTTTGGTCAGGAACCAAATGTATCCCATTTGAGAATATTTGGATGTGCAGTATATGTTCCAATTGCTCCACCACAACGCACTAAAATGGGCCCTCAGAGAAGACTAGGGATATATGTTGGATATGAATCTCCATCGATAATTAAGTACCTAGAGCCAACGATAGGAGATTTATTTACGGCTCGTTTTGCAGATTGTCGTTTTGATGAATCAGTTTTTCCAACATTAGGGGGAGAAATAAACAGCTGCAAAAGGAGATTAGTTGGAATGAATTATCGTTATCTCATCTAGATCCTCGTACCAAACAATGTGAATTGGAAGTCCAAAAGATAATTCATTTACAAAACTTAGCAAATCAATTGCCAGACTCATTTGCTGACCCAAAGAAAGTGACAAAGTCACATATACCAGCTGAAAATGCTCCGATTAAAATTGATGTCCCAGAAGGACAAGTCCAAGTTGCAAATGGATTTAAAACACGCCTGAAGCGTGGTAGACCCATCGGTTCCAAAGATAAAAACCCTCGGAAGAGAAAAGGAGCAACCATTGACATTGGCCAGACCGAGGAAGCTATAAATTTTGAAGGATCTCCAGAAGAGACCTTAGACATGATGGAAAAGGATATTCAGGTACCTGACAATGTAGAAATTTCAACAAATTTTATCATGTCTGGAATTACATGGAACCGAAACCAAATCGACGTCGATGATGTTTTTGCAGGCAATGTAGCATTAGATGTCATAAATGATGATGAGGATCATGAGCCAAAATCCATTAATGAATGTAGACAAAGAAGTGATTGGAAAAAATGGAAAGAAGCAATTGAAATTGAATTGAAATCTCTCGCAAAAAGAGTAGTATTCGGACCTGTAGTCCGTACACCTGAAGATGTAATACCAGTGGGATATAAATGGGTCTTTGTACGAAAAAGAAATGAAAATGGTGATATTGTAAGATACAAGGCCCGATTAGTTGCACAAGGATTCTCACAAAGACCCGGTATTGATTATGAGGAGACATACTCTCCCATGGTGGATGCAACTACTTTTAGATTTCTAATTAGTCTAGCAATAAGAGAAGGACTTGATTTACGCTTGATGGATGTAGTCACAGCTTACTTATATGGCCCACTGGATAATGACATATACATGAAACTCCCAGAAGGATTTGAACTGCCAAAAGCAGCAAATGGAAGTTCTCGAGAACAGTACTCAATAAAATTGAATAGATCTCTATATGGATTGAAACAATCAGGGCGCATGTGGTATAATCGACTAAGTGAGTACTTGTTGAAAGAAGGGTATAAGAATGACCCTATATGCCCATGCATTTTTATAAAGAGATTTGTATCAGGATATGTCATAATTGCAATATATGTTGATGATTTAAATATTATTGGAACTCCTGAAGAGATTTCAATAACAATGGAGTGCTTAAAGAAAGAATTTGAAATGAAAGATCTTGGAAAAACTAAATTTTGCTTAGGGTTACAAATTGAACATCTAAAGAATGGAATCCTTGTGCACCAGTCAACATACATAGAAAAGGTTCTTAAAAGATTTTCTATGGATACAACACATCCACTGAGTAGCCCTATGGTTGTTAGAGCACTTGATGTAGAAAAAGATCCCTTCCGACCTCGGGAGAATGACGAAGAAATTCTTGGTCCTGAAGTACCATATTTAAGTGCAATAGGGGCATTAATGTATCTTGCTAGTCATACACGACCCGACATATCATTTTCAGTAAATTTGTTAGCAAGATTTAGCTCATGTCCCACCCGAAGGCATTGGAATGGGGTTAAACATGTACTTCGTTACCTTCAAGCTACGAAAGATATGGGTTTATTTTTCTCTAACCTATCCAAAGAAGGTTTGATTGGTTTTGCAGATGCAGGGTATATGTCTGATCCTCATAATGCTAGATCACAAACTGGAAATGTGTTTATGTGTGGAGGTACTTCTATTTCTTGGCGTTCTATGAAACAAACAATTGCAGCTACTTCTTCTAACCATGCAGAAATTTTGGCAATCCATGAGGCTAGTCGTGAATGTGTATGGTTAAGGTATGTAATTCAAAATATACAGACAGATTGTGGCATAAACTCCGAGAAAGAAGTTCCAACAACTTTATATGAGATAATGCAACATGCATCGCCCAACTTAAGGAAGGGTATATCAAAGGTGATCGAACAAAGCACATTTTACCAAAATTCTTCTACACTCATGATCTACAGAAGAATGGTGATATAAAAGTCCTTAAGATTTGCTCGAGTGAAAACTTGGCAGATTTGTTTACTAATGCACTCCCAACCGCCACATTCAAAAAGTTAGCTTACGGCATTGGATTGCGTCGTCTTAAAGATCTCAAGTGATGTAGTCATGAGGGGGAGTTAATGCGCGCTGCACTCTTTTTTCCTTAACCATGGTTTTTTTCCCACTGGGTTTTCCTGATAAGGTTTTTAACGAGGCAGCATCTTATGCGCATTACAAATTATTTTGTACGAGTTTTTTTTGTAAATTTTAGTTATCGTTTTATAGTCATCCAAGGGGGTGTTATGAAATATTAAATGTGGATGACTATTATCCCATGTATTATCTAGAATATTCTAGAGTTGGGTATTTGATTTTATCCGATGATGGAACCCCAGATAATATACATGTATATATATTCCCACTCTATGGAATAATAAACTGATCAATTCTCTCTCCATCTCTCATATTTTCTCCTTATTTTTCTAACACCTCTAAATTTTTTCCTCGGTTTTTTCATCTTAGTCATGGAGCTTCATTTGGGTTTGGGTCTTTTATTTTATGGAATTAGAAGGCTTCATTATTTGAGATGGGCTAAAGTAAAAGATATGGCCTGCGCTAGACTGGATTGCAATTTAATACGCGCGAAAATTACATAAATAAAAAATTCGTTGGTCAATTAAGAATTTATAGCCCATTGAAACATAGTCAGCCTTAATTAAAACAAATTCCTCTATTATTATCTTAAATTTCCTAATTCTGTTACATAATTACTGGATATTTTTAGATAAGCATTTCTTTTTTTTTTCTTTTTTTTAGATAAGCATTTCTCATTTCCAGAGAACAATGGATAAAATTATATTATGTGGCATAATCAATTATCGATTCATTCCTAAACAATCAACCAATTATGTTAGTCACAATAAAATTTTTTTAAATTATATTCACATTATTATACCTAAAATCTCCTTAATGAATTCACATTATACGGAATATTTCATACCAAAAATATTCACTTTATAATTTCATTACTATTAATAAAAAGATACATTCATTTTTGTAAACAAACTAGACCTTTGCCTATATATACACACACATTCATACAGAAATTTGCAAGCCTAGCACCATCTTTAAATTGTTATTAATCCCTCAAATATTAGCAAAAGCCATATTTTGTAACCCTACCAATTTCCTTTTGCCCTCTTTAAACAATATACACACCAAAATTTTACAAATAAATTTTAGGTATGAATTGATCCTCCATTATTCCTAGCATAACAATCCACTATTAGATATTCCTTCAACCAACATCTATGCAATGGTTAACAAAAGCAAATTCGAACGCGGTAGTCGTCGAGTGCCAATTCCTAGCCAAAAGTCTTTCGCTACAACCTTGACGTCTAACCTCAAGGAGACGTTTTTCCCTGATGATCCTTTTAGGAAATGGAAAAACCAGCCATTTCAAAGGAGATTACTTCTAGGATTACAATATTTTGTACCGATTTTTGAATGGGCGCCTCGTTACCAATTCAAGTTGTTTAAAGCGGATTTGATCGCCGGGATAACCATTGCTAGTCTTGCTATTCCTCAAGGGATTAGTTATGCTAATTTGGCTACTTTACCTCCTCTTGTCGGCCTATGTAAGTTGTTTTATACACCAAAACTTTCATTTTTCTATAGACGCGTTACATAATGTCACCAGATGTCTTACAATAACGTATACGTAGTACTTTTTTTGAGTAGCAGAGTTCATAATTTACATAGCAAATTGATAAAATTAAAGTGAATTTTTGATTAAATTAGTGACGAATTTTAAGGTCATTGGTGGTTAATTAGTGAATGTGCTATTGATAGAATAATTAAGGTGAATTTTTATCAAATTAGTGACGAATTTAAAGGTGATTGGTTATTAATTAGTGAATTGGATTTGTGGTGAGTTTATGTGGTTAGCTTATCAGTTCATGTGATTTATAGTTAGAGAATTGAGCTTGCATTTCAAAAGAATTATGAATACTCCGTAATGCATTTATATGACTATGTTAGAAAAAAAAATATATTTGCGTAAAGTAATTTTCTTAAGGGTGTTTATAGCAAATTTCATTGTCCACAGAGTCATAGAGATGACATGTTAATGAGATAAAAAGGTCTAATGTACATATCTTTATTATAAATGTTTAAGAGAAGGATCTTATTTCAATCCTTGTTAATTTTTATGGTTCAGTATTTACCGATATGATACTTGGAGGTGAGAAAGAATGTTAAAATACCCTCACCCTCAAGTGCTATAGTTAGGAGAATTTAACCTTATGATCTCATAATTAGTGAATCTATAACCAATTACACCAAGTCTTATTTGATAACAATTAATATATGCATCGTATTGTTCAAAGCCAATGGAGTCAAAATTATACTTTGTACACAACCTTATCTAACACTCATTTATTGGTTCCACATAAGATATGACTCATCGTATCTATTTTTACCATCTTTTCAATAGTTTTACTATGACTATGATCATAGAAATGGTAATAAATGGGGGAATGAAATTCAAGAAAAATAATATATTATTAAAGGAAAAAGATATATGCATCCTTAAGGGCTGCATATAAGAAATTAAAAGTGAAAAGAATTGACAATAAATAAACATTTATTACACTGATTTACTCGTAAATTGTCGATAAATTTCCAACTTAATACTAAAAAAATTAAGCATATTAAGGACTGCATATAACATTACCCTTTATTAAAATTATGGTATATATTTTTATATCAATCACTAAAATTTTGGAAATATATCTAATAATTTTATTGTCATTTTATTGTATAACCTTGTTCACTTTATCTTATTTTTGCTTAATTTAAATTATTTTTATAGAGCTGAAAGTATTCTACTAATTCTCTATTATATTTCTTATTTAGAGTAGCTGATTTTTACCAAACTGAGATTATTTTTATTGATATAAAATTTATTTCATGAACTTAGTTTTACTGAATATTATTTTTTAAGGTGAACTGAACAAGTATTGCATGCATATATAATATCGTCTATTTTCAAATTTAGGACCATCAAATTAAGAATTTTTAGTGCTCATAATTACTATTTCAGAATATTACGTATGCAATTTAGGATATATATTAATATATTCTTACTTTTTTATTTTATTAATATTTTTTTTATGTTAAAAATCTTTATTTCCTAATGGTATAATATTGTTTATATTCTTCCTTTTATTTCATTTTCTTATCCACCACCTCATCATCCTTACTTGACACATTATCAACAACACTTGAAAAAAAAAACGACCGTAAAAGAAAAATGTAACACTTTAAAAAACCGAAGTTCATGAGTATATTTTCATACAATAGTATCGTGCTTATTAGTTATTACCATTACTAACTGATTTGAAATACTAATATAAAAAGTACCTACTAGATTCATACTATACAAACCAATAATAACAAATTATTCCATTTTTTATTTATTTGAAAAACAACATAAGGGGTAAAGGGTGTACATATTATATTCACCTAATTCATATTTATTTTAGCTGAAAATGAAATAGATAATCTTTATATATTTTTGAGTTGATAAGGTATTTATATTGGGAATGTAGACTCAAGTTTGGTACCACCATTGGTATACGCAATGATGGGGAGTTCAAGAGATTTGGCAATAGGCACAGTTGCAGTTGCATCTCTTTTGTATACTGATATCTTGGGTAAGGTCGTCAGTCCCACCGATAATCCTAGAGAATATTTACATTTGGCATTTACAGCTACTTTCTTTACTGGTGTTATTCAAGCTTCTCTTGGCCTCCTCAGGTAATTAATTTATTAAAGACACAGTTATGTGAAATTTTGTTAAATTCGTCATGAATTTTAGTTTTCAAATATGCAATTTTTATAATAATTTTTTATTATGCGTAATTTGAAATATTTTTATTACAAAATTGCATTTAAAACCGTGTAGATATCAAATGTGAAAAACAATTAAAAGCAAAGAGAGTATTTTAAATTAGCTTAGCTCTACAAGTGAGATGGAAACTCCTTCCTATATACTATAATACTAAGTATGTTCATTATTACTACCTTTGTTCGAAATTGATGTTAACATTGAAAATTTAAGCACTCGCAATTTCACAAGTCCACTTTGCACTCATTATGTAAGGAAGATTTATCACAATGTATAGAACCGGAGCCCGGAGGGACACCATAATACCATATGAGCTTATAAGAAGACTCCATTTAACATAGCACATTTATTAACATATCTTGATATAGTACTCCATCCTTTTTGTAAAATTTATTCATTGTTTGAACATTTTTGTGAGACACTCACGTTCAAATAAAAACTTTAAAGAATGGGGATGTATAAATTTAAGTTTTTATTATTTTAATTGTATAATTGCAATATATTCATTTTCAAGAATATAAAATTTCGTATTTATTCTTTACTCTCTTTGTCAAAAAATTTAAAATTATTCTATACACGCGTATTAATTATTTTGAATGGAAGTTTTTTTTTTGAACAAAGATTGATTCATAAATAAAAAGTCATACTACATTTACAAAGAGATTTATATCAAATAAATACATAACAATTGAATCAAATAAAAACATGCTTTCAACAAAGCTACGATCTTTGTTGCAAATTATAGATTCTTTATACCCTCTTTCACATCGCTGTGATTTATCGTCTTTATCGTCGAGGGGGTCTATTGATAGCAGTGAAGAAAATTTTCGTCTGGTTGTAATCGAAAGATTAACCTCTTTTTCGTTCCCGCACAAATCTTTACCCATGAAACAACTTTGCAGCAATCCATCAAACAAAAATCAAATCCTCCCTCAAAAAGAAAAACCTTTTCTTTCAAAGGAGAATATCCTCCTAAAGAAGAAGAAAAGCCCTTTCTTTCGAGGGAGAAACGTTCCTCCTAAAAGAGGAAGAGTTATTATAAACCTAGAACAAACAAAAATAAAGAGAAAAAGCACACACAAAACAAAGATTGGGGCTTTCCACCAGTAAAAAACGATGGTAGTCCCTCCAAAATTCAATAATAGAGGTTAGAGTTTTTCGAGAGAGAAGAGAGGCTTAAGAAGAAACAAAGAGATACTTTAAAACAATTTTTTTTTTTTTTTTTGAATGGAGTTGTAACACTAAACTTAATCACTTTAGTGCTATGCAATTATTAATGGTTTAAAGATGTGAAATGAAGTGAATAGTACGGAGTATAACGTCATGATACTTTGATTTTTGTATTTTTTTTTTTTTGAAAGATGATTTTTGTATCTTTTATAATTAGTAGTGTCCTTCATGATTTTTTAGGCGACTACATTATATTATTAATAAAGCTATAAAAATGTAGTAATATCATAGTATAAAAACAAAAATGAAGTCATTGACAAAATTTTGTATGTACAGACTGGGATTTATTGTGGACCTACTGTCGCACGCCACCATATTAGGGTTCATGGGAGGAGTCGCAACAAGTGTTTCTTTTCAACAGCTTAAAGGAATTTTGGGATTACGACATTTCACTCATAAATCCAATATTATTTCAGTTCTAAAAGCTATTTTTTCCCAAACTCATGAGGTAACTTTTTTAGCACAAATATCAAACTTTCATGTACAATAAATTTCTGTGTAACGGTTGTTAAATTAGTAAAAAGAAATACAGAGTACTCTGTATACAATTTCACATTTGTGCTATGTATTTGAACTCTTCATTTCATCTCAAATACCCGTATCAAATTCTGGATACTTAAACACTTCATTCTGATAATTCAAAAACATGGAATTTTTTCACAAAATAGTCTAGTTAGACACTTGGACACGTACTCATGTTGAGCTGAGTAGTTCAAGTAACATAGTATATGTCTTTCAAAAAATAAGATTTGCAAACATATTAATAGTAGAAAGTATTGTAAGTACTTGAAATTTTTTATTTAGTAGACAATTTAAAACTAGAAAAAAAATTTGTTTTACATTAAAAAGTAACATGTTATATATCGCTCAAATTGATCAAATTAGTATATATGTCGATTGATTGATTGATAATGATAAGGAAGTATTGTTATAACGAGATTAATCCCATTTATCACTTGCATGACTGATGATTAACAACTTAACTCAAGAGTTAAGCAAATATTTGACATATTTAATTTGTTTAATCAAGTAGCTAATTCATAATGGTACTAAGTTTGATCTTTTATTTGTTGTTACAGTGGAGATGGCAATCGGCGATTCTGGGTTGTAGCTTTCTGTTTTACATGCTGTTGGCAAAGTTCTACGTGAGTATTCATGTCCTCTAAGTATAAACATTTGTAATTATAAATTCAGTTTATTAAAGTTTCAGGTTTATAATTTGTTAATAAGTAGCTAATATGCTCCCACAAAATTATATTCGTAAATATGTTGAAGCATAGTCTTTCTAGATAACACACCACAATGATAAAAGAAGAGAATTAAAAACTTTACAAGGCTCGTATTACTCTTGGCTGACCTATTGCCTTATAGTTTTGGGATCAAACCTCCATGCCTTCATGGGTCTTATAAAGTGGACTCTCTTACTAACAGTATAGAGCTAAGTCAGATTCACAGTTTCATGGGAGGGAGAGTGCTTAAAAAACATAAGAAATTAAAGTCATCAATATAATACTTTGATCAAACTTATATTGACCCAATTAGACTTCCAATTTTCAAGAAATATGTACCTTCTTACAATTATTATGTGTGACAGGGTCATTTTGATCATAAAAAATATAATTATGTACTCCCTCTATTCCCTATTTTTGCACCATGGACCAACTTTATGTTAGAATTTTGTGAGTCACATGGTGCAATAAAATGGGGACAGAGGGAGTATGTTATACCAATTTCAAAATGATAATGTCATTTGTTTATTTGCAGTTTTTTAGATATGTAAAATTATTTGAATTGAGAGAATGATTGACCAAAACTTAAACTTCGAGATACCTATAGCTACATTTGAGCTTTCTAAGATACACTCGTATGTGTAATATGCTAAAGTGCTAAACTGAAGTTATCGGTATCAATCCTTTAATCCGTATGCAGAGTAAGAGAAAACCGATTTTCTTTTGGATAAGTGCAATGGCTCCCCTCACATCTGTTATTCTAGGAAGCTTGCTTGTCTACCTCACCCATGCCGACAATCATGGTGTCCAAGTGGTAAGTAATCATATATGTTTTACATAATACATGCTCATATGGTGTTTCAACAACTTTACAAAAATTTTTTTGATGTAATATTAGATCGGACATTTGAAGAAAGGACTGAACCCGCCATCTTTTAAGTATTTGGCATTCGGATCACCCTTCCTTGGCAGTGCAATTAAGACAGGAGCCATTACTGGAATCATAGCATTGGCTGTAAGTTTGATTAACTAGTCATCTTAACACTAGGAATAATATGATTAGTATGCAGGTATAAATGCATGATGCAGTAAAATTCTAATTACTCGCTATTTATATTATATGTGCCTGGCTATAAAATGAGAAACACTAGATTTATTTGATGCTTCATTTGTATAATTACATGAAGCTATTTATGAATCGATCAAACGTTCTTAATCCTATTCGTGCATTACATTGATCATTATCGTTTCATAACCAATAAGTACAACTTCAGTAAATTTAAACACTTTTTACTGTCTGCAAGCCCTGTTTTTTCAGCCTAATGAAATAAATCTAAGTAAAAAAACAGATATATATGTCAAATATACCAGTGAATCAGTATATATATACTTTTGGTATGTTTCTCTATTCGAATGGACCCTAACAATTGTAACAATATAGGAAGGTGTAGCAGTCGGACGAAGCTTTGCATTGGTTAAGAACTATCACATTGATGGAAACAAAGAGATGCTCGCGTTTGGGCTAATGAACATTGTTGGCTCATGTACTTCTTGCTATCTCACTACAGGTATTATATGCCTACGTTTTTACTATTGGATTTTATAACTTTCCTTACATGTCGTCCCTAAAATTTAATCATTGTATTTTACAGGAATATTTTCAAGAACAGCAGTGAATTTTAATGCAGGATGTCAAACAGTGGTGTCAAACATAATAATGTCAATAGCAATGATCATAACATTGTTGTTCCTAATACCTTTTTTTAGTTTCACCCCGCTTGTGGTTCTTTCGTCTATAATAATCAATGCCATGCTTGGCCTCATCAAATACGAAGAAGCCTATCATCTATGGAAGGTTGACAAATTCGACTTTATCATCTGCATAAGTTCCTACCTTGGTGTCGTCTTTGGCAGTGTGGAGAATGGCTTGATTACCGCGGTATGTTATGCAAGAACAAATTTGAATCCCCTTTGAAAAACTAGGCTAATGTGACATGTATTGCAGACCAATGGTGTATAAAATAGCAACTCCGTATTCTGGTTTTCCAACAGCTCTAAAAAATCTTATATTGTTTATGTGCAGATTTGCCTATCTGTGGTGAGACTTCTGCTAGTAGCGGCAAGGCCTAAGACCGTGATGCTAGGAAACATACCAGACACCGCGTCCTACAGAAACATCCGACACTATGATTTTGCCCATAGAGTTGCTGGAATTCTCATTCTACAGATTGATGGTCCGATCAACTTCGCTTGCACTAATTACTTGAGAGAAAGGTACGTGTATTAAGTAGCTAGTACTAGCTCCCTTTGTCCAAAATTAATTGTGATATCTTAAAATAAAACGTGACAGTTAAATCTGGACGAAGGTAGTATTAACCTTACTGTAAGCTCTGTTTCCATAATTATGTTTCTAGTGCTCAAAATTAATTCAATCACATTCTAAATTATTGCAGAATCATTAGATGGGTTGATGAAGAAGAAGATAGAATAAAAATTTGCAGAGGACAAAGTCTGCAGTATGTTATACTTGATCTAGGAGGTAAAGTTACACGAAGTACATTACTTCAATCAGCTGTTTTAATTTTTTGAATGTCTAAATGATTTCGTTTGTAATCGAAATCAAATTCAACCAAATCCATACAAATTACTCTAACAAAGTTTACAAAGTAAACATATGTATAACAACTAGACATTTCCTTGCAGCCGTAGGTAGCATCGACACTGGTGGGATAAGCTTGTTAGAAGAAGTAGCAAAACTAATTGAAAGAAAGAGTTTAAAGGTACAAATTTAGTCTTAAAATTCATACTTTTCTTTCTCTAGACTATATTTACTTAGTTTTGCTTCTGCTGCTGCAGCTGATATTAGCTAACCCAGGAAGTGAGGTATTCAAGAAAATGCATCTTTCCAAGTCTATTGAAATCTTCGGCGAGGAGCACATACATCCCACAGTGGATGAAGCAGTCGAAGCATGCACATTCATGATGCAAGCGAGCGAATCTGTGTCCACACAGTCTGAAAATGATGATCCAGCAGATCAGGTTTAGTTCAAGGGAATCATTTCTTAACCGCCACAATGCTTTTTCTTGGAAGAGCACTGAGTATCAAGAGTTCAAGACTATCAACGATGGTAATCGATCTTGCAAGATATGTAACGAAGCTAGAAAGTCTTTGTAAATGAAACTATGTGTGATCCTAGAGAGTAAAAGAGTAGGGCGTTCTTGTTTCATACTATGCAATGCGAATGGAATGGCATTTTGAAAGATCTGATTCTTCTTGGTTAGGACCAATATCACATGCGTTGTTTTTTAATGTCTAGTAGGAAAAGTTTGTAATTCCTAAATTAGTAATGGTAAAGATGAATAATGAGGAGCAAGAGAGTTCAACTATCAAGTCTATTCATATACGAGTACAAAGTAAGTGTTTTTTTGTTTCTTATATTAGTACGGGTAGGGGGGTGTTAACGAGTCGTGTTTGCTCATAAACAGCTCGATCAAAGCTCAGTATAGGCTCAGCTCAAATAGACTCGACTCGAACTTTAACAAGCCAAGCCTTAGCTATCCTTGGCTCAGCTTGAGAGCTCATGACAAGCTCAATTTTTTTTGCATATTATTAATTTTTTTCATTATAAATCAATTAATAACGCGTAAACTTTGTTTCAAATTTAGGACTTAGAAATTAAATTGAATTTTCAAAGATCTAATTTGTGTTCTCACTAAGTCACTAATTTGAACTTTCATTCATAGTTATTGATTTATTGTTGTTGTTTAAAAACCAACAAAAGATAGAGAAAGAAAATAATCTCATATCGAAAGATAGATCAAGTGATAAAATATAAGAGTTATAAAAGTAAAATTTAAGCCTTGCTGATTTTGGGCTTGACAAGCCTTGATCAAGCCTCAAGCCTTTAGCCGTACCAAGCCCACCAAAAGGAGTTTTGAGCTCAACGAGCTTCGAGCCAAGCTCAAAAGGAGTTCAGGCTCAACGAGCTTCGAGCTCGATTTGAGCCCAAGCTCACGAGCTTCAAGCTCAAGCCGAGACTAACCTAAGCTCAATCTCGGATTGACTCATTAACACCCCTTAGTACATGTTAATGTTCAGTAGTGTGAAGCAGTACAAGAGTTCATCTATCATTCTCCCTCCGTCTAGCTGACAATTCTATTTAGAATCTTTATAGCTTCCTAAGTACTATTTACTCAATTGTTAATAAGAAATACATATTTTGTGTAAGAAATTGAATATACTTCTGCTTAAATTTTGTATTAAAACTAAACTACTTGTATTAGAAACATAAGAGCATCAGTACAAACTACAAAGTATTTTATTTTTCATATCCTCATTCGTTGGGGCATTTTGACAATTAATTTTTGAACAGACAAACAAAACCCTTCACAACTACAGCATCTCTCATTATGACCTGTGACAAAAAAGCAACTTATTATGAATTTGACAACTAAACCACAATGAAAACGCATGTAACAAAAAATTTAGCTCTTCAACCCACTTAGCTAGCACAAGCAAAGAGCCACAAAAACTGATCAGATGGAAACTTGATCATATCCTTTGCCAGCCAATCAGATACCTCTTACGTCAATGTGAGTTCATACACAATACACCCTGCTAACTAAATTGAATGGACAAACTAAATCTGCAAGCTACCCCTTCACCCAATTACCCAAAAACTATATCAGCAGAAAATATGAACCATGAGGCAGAAGATCAATGAAACAAACTATGAATTTCCGAGCAATTGCTCATAAATGAAGATCTTCTTCATTCGCAATCCAGCAAGATCGGCCACACATGGCATGACAGAACAAACAGTCGACATGGAATTATGACATTCAAGCAGATTTTGCATTCTCATCTGAATCCAGGTCATGAAATAAACCACAGTTAGTCACATCAAACTGTCAGGATTTCCTCAGTCATTCTTTGAATAGATGCGGATGTAGTTCATGGGCACCAATGTCTCAATCATTCTTTAAATAGACGCGGAAGTAGTTCATGGGCACCAATGTCCAAAGCCTCAGGATCCCTAAAAGATGATTAGCATAAAGCACCATGAGATTGCAGCACATTGGCATATATCATAAAAATAACATCATTTAGAATATCAAGGTTGATATAATCATAGTTGGAATATGAGATCCATGTAAAAGAGAATTAGACTTTTCTTATATGTCCAATGATTTGGCACACTTCCTTAATCTCCTGTAAATTACAACTTTGTATAGTTCCGGGATCCGCATTTTATATCATACATAAATGGGAACAAGAGAATTTCTAGGCAATCGCAATCCAAATTCAAGCAACTACATATAGCTCTAATAAAAAGAGCAAACGACTTGTGCCATCAAAAAAAATCCTCAACCTATCTAGAGCCAATTAGCAATTTAGGAAAAAATATAAAAAAAAAATCCTTTTGATACTCCTTTAAGTATCACTTTAAGCAATCTAACTTGTTTAATTTCTTGGGAAAGCTTCCTTATTGTTCATTTTTGTTACGTTAGTAAGGTTATCAATCTTTTGAAACCCGGTAACTTGAGGGGCAGCCCCCTAATACTCTAGAACAAGATATGATATTTGACTTGTTGGCAAAGAACAATATCACTGGTTATGGCAACACACTATTAAAGAGTATTCTTGTACTTTTTATAAAGTAGGAAAATAAAATTCTCTTGCCAATTTGATACTCCTCTTGTTTGTTCTTCTTGTATTCCTCTTTGGAAATTCAAAAGGTTCTTATTAGGATTTACATGAACAATTATGAATATTTCTCCACTATCTTTCTGTTGATTTGTTTGTTAATTTTCGAGAATGTATCAAATGAGAAATGGAGAAAGTATTAGTTGCCCCATTTTGACTTTTGATACTATCCACAAACTTACTTTGATCATATTATTTGATTTTTGATTAAATATATGCACTAAGACAAATTAAATACCATTTTACATGATAATTTATTTAAGAAAATATTATTAATTTTTTTAATTAATTTTTACGTAAAGTTGCAACACTTTCCCTAAAATGAATGTTCTTTTTAGTTACAACGTTACTAATTTTAGCAAGTTTTCCCTATTTAAATACCAAAAGTACCCTATGTGGGGACTAACACCCACCAACTCTCTTTTCTTTATACAAGGGCTTCTTTGTCTAATCTCATGCCCCATGAGGGGACCAAAATCCATTAACTCCATTTCCCATAATCTCCATATACCCACACCTATGTTACAACTATTTCCAAACGGAGGAAGTATATATAGTCCCTCATTGCAAAGAACTTTAAATTGATTAAGAGTGTGTTTGGATTGAAGGAAATGGAGGGAAAGGAAGGGAAGGGAAATGGAGGGAGGGAGTATCTTTCATTTGGATAACAAATTAGGGATGAAGGGAATTGGAGGGGAAAGAAATGGAGGGATTAAATTTCAAGAAAATGATCCCTCCAACAATGGAGAGATTCAGAAGGAAAACTCATCATTCTTCCTTCCCCTTCCCTCTCCTTCACCTCCCTCCCTTTCTTTTCCTTTCCTTAACACTACCCAAACAAACTGTAAAAGAAAAAATTGAGGAAAAACATTGCATGAAGAGGAAAGGCCAAATATATTCTTCCTCTTCGGGAGCTTTCAACTACAAATCAACCCATTCGAAAAAATAATATGAACAAATGTTCTCTCCAATTTGGATTCTAGAAACCATACGAAGTAGTAGTTTATTGGAGATAAAGTGTGCCAAATCATAACTGCCTACCAAATGGTCACCAAAATATAAAGTTCGCAATTATAGTTGTGAGAAAATATATATACTTGCAAAAATAAGATCAAAAAATAAAAAATCACACACTCGGTGAAAACGAACAAGAAAATTGGCGAAGATGTCACTGTTTGATTATTTTATTCCAAAATATCAGTTTTTCCATATAACAAACTGACAAGAGGGTGTTTTTTTTTTTAAAAAAAAAAATAATAATAATTTGCCACCTTGTGTCATACTTTTGTAATAGTAGAATACATCACACAAAAAGAAGGGATGACATCACTGACAGTACAAATGCATTTCACAGTGTTCCAAAAATTCAAACCTTAAAATAGTTAAAAGAACAATGGCACAGATGCTGTAACTGACTGAAGAATAGACTAACAAAGATAGTAAAAATTCAAAAGACATCACCTGCACAAGGCCTTTCCTTTCTCGTTGCTACAAGGGATGAACCATAAATTTCGTAGAAAAGGAGACTCGAATTGGATAAAGAATCCATCACTCTGCCCATGCTTCCATTTCCTAAAACCTTGACCTTTCCAGACCTGCAAATAAAGAAACTTCTACCATCAGAATGCTACACAGTTTTTAAAAGTATATTTCAATATAGGACAAGAAGTCCAAATTAGTCCTATCTTGAACTCCAATCCTTTCTTCCCAACCATATCACTCGCTGAACAGCAAGGTCATATCTTAAATCTTACCTCAATCAAAGTAAATTGTCTCATTGTATAAAAGCAGCAATGTTGAGTAACTATATTGTGAAATGCTTCATTCAAATTTCACCCGTAGTGTATTGTCAAAATTGTATATTGTGAAATCCATAAATTTGTGTAAATATTACTACCTTTGTTTTTGAAAGTTCTTAACACATTTTACTTTTGGCACTAATCACAAAATCCGCTTTTGAGTCTTTGCCCATCAATTGTAATTTATATATAAGTAAAAAGATATTCATGTGAGGCCTAATAAAATTCGTCTCTGTATTTTTGGAATAGCAAATTTTTATTATTTACAAATATACCTCCGTTTCTTTTAAGTTGACACGTTTCTTTAGTCACGTATATTCAACCATTAATATCTTTAATTACCGATAAGCAAAAATTATAATTAAAAAAAAAAAGATAGTTAGATTAAGATTAGCATTAAAATGACATCAGCATCATCAAAAACCAACAGGAGAGACTCCTGCAAGGATTAAGCAGAGGCTAGACTCTAGAGGATCCCTCCATTAGGCCCTCCTGGAAACATAATGATTATCAATCACTCCAAATAATCTTGAAGGAGCTATACAAATCAATTTAAGCATCCCAAAGACCACTATGTCTTTCAATTTCACTGGAAATGAACAGAGTATCAAAAGACCCTTGTAAAAAGAACTCACAAACAAGGTTATTGCGGTATTAACAGGCAAATCTAATGTCAACGCCAAGGTACCTGAGGGTAAGATATGCTGCTTTTAGGTGTGATTAAGCAAGCAGCTTTGGAGAATGAATCCACAGCATATTGCCTAAGAAATGAGAAGCAGTTGCTGTGTGTATGAGGCGATTCAAATGCCTGAAATATGAAACAATAACGAAACAATCGGTTAAAAGAAGAAATATACATAAAATAAAAGAGCCCGGAGAGTCATGATCCTCAATTTTTAAAAATGCAATTTCAAACCAGATACAATAAGTTGACAATAATATCACTTAGAGTGAGTCACTTCAGATTGTTCAGAAATACAATCAACATCATTAAACAGACTATTTTCTCAAAGTAAATACTTGTGAAATCATTTGAAGTCGCAAGAAGATAAGGTGTGAGACTGTGAGTAAATGGAAACTGTCAAAACCTTATCTATGTTCACAGCAGGGGCATATTTCTCTGTATCTGTCTTTTCTTTGTCAAGAAGGAAGAAGACTTGAGGATCCACTTTTGAAGCTCCATGCCATGTTTTTACAGCTTTTTCCATAGTTTCAACAAGAAATGAGAACAATACACTACCCAACTCTTCACCTCCATACTTCTCAGCCTGCAAATATAGAGAATTAGTTGAAATCAAGCCCAATTTATCAGTCAACTTAATGTCAAAAGGAAGCAGAGAACATCTAGGCATAGAAGTATTGATATGTAAAGTTACTATATACTATAAGCTGGATGAGACCTGAAATTGAAAACCAAGAAACTTCAAAAATACTCCCATCTTTCCAAAAGGTTCTTCACATTAACTTCATGTAATATCCAAGATGCATCAATCCATGTGTAGTCAAATAAATTCACTTGTTAATGGTCTTATTATATGCATTAGAAAAGCGACTTTGGCAATCAGATTTGCAACATTGTTAATAATTCACCACATTATATGAGGAAAACATAGTGAAGCATGTATTGGTTTGACTCTAAAAGTCAGATCATGACGAACTATTTGGAATGAAAGGACACAGCAACTGTATCATTAATGACTTGTCAAATTCAGTTTCAAAACCTTACAGCTTATAAACTTTCAAAGCTTTCAATTTTGACACAGTGCAATTGTAAGCTTTCCTGGTGATGGTAGAAGAAATATCAAATTAGATAAGAGATTTACATCAAAAGAATGATAAAATAAGGAGGAACCTAGAAGCACCTCAGTGCAGCAACCAATATGTCTTCCTAGCATTGAACAGGGAACCGATATATTAAGTAACATCATATACATTATAAGTCAGTTGGTAGCACGGATCTGCCTGAAGCTGCCATCCGAGCAACAAAATGCTCCAAAAGGCTCATTCTACTTCAGTATCTAGAAATCCAGAATCACCAAACCATAAAGAATCCAAGGATATGTAAGCCATCTGTACAATGATGAATGAAACCTAAAGAAAAATTCTATCACAGCCTTTAAGGTTGGAAAGTTAAACCTAAAGGCTCTAAACTTTGAAGAGTCTGAACACTCTAAATTTCATCTGCCAACATATAACCTGTCTCTTATTGTGTCCACGTAACATGCATCAGTCAAGCCTTTTGGTGATTCATCATTGTACAGATGGCTTACATATCCTTGTACAGATGACCTGTCATGTTTCATCTGCCAACATATAACCTGCCAACATATAACCTTTCATGTTTCATTCATCTGCCATTAACCTTTCATGTTAAGCTTTTGGGAGTGAGTTAGGACGTTAAATAGCTTGATATTAGATCCTCTATTTTGCTGTAAGTCCAAAATTATCCATCTAAAGTAAACCTCACATTAAATTTTAATGTAGAAATCACAGCTTATAACAGATAGCCAACTAGCCAGCAGCAGCATCAAAAATGCTGTTTAACTTTAATCAACTTCTAATAATTTAAGTTGCTAAAGGGAACACAGACACGGTGACAAGTTCTTATGGAAGATGTGACAGGGTGACAGGCAGTGACAATGGTTGGTGACCATGAAATGTCCTTGGCAATATGAAAATGCCCATATAAGAATTAGTTATCCGTTGTTGAATGTGGAGAAGACAATTCAAATTTCCAAACTTCACACAGTTCACAGGCCAACCCGCATGCAGTCTAGGGACTCAAAAGAAGTCCCTTTATTTCATAAGCTCCAATAATCGACAAATAGTAAGTCTTCGGCATAAAAGTAAATATCCAAATGAATTAAACTAAAGTTATTTTACTTCCAAGGCATCAAAAGAACCCTAGTTACATGCCTCCAATGTAGGCAATTTAAATGTACAAAGATACAATATTTAGAAGCACTACTGACTTACCATTTCAGATTTCACTGTACTCAAGTGCTTGGCCACATCAACATTGGATCTCATCCTTTCTACTTCTTCAGCTTGCTTCTTATCTCTGGCCAATTGTGATATTTTCTTTATTTTTTTTGACACTTCAGTACTTTGTGGATTATATTGCAATGCAACTTCAAATGCCTCTAAAGCCTACAAGGAATAGAAAAATGGTCATATACAGAGAAAACTAGCGCACTTAAGATATGAGCAGATGAGCCATCCATCAAAAGGGAATACCTGATCATATTTCTCCATAGCTTCCAAGATGCATCCTTTTCTAAAATAACCCTATATGGAACAAAACGGAATTTTAGAATTAAGTAAAAGAAATATGTCATTAATATATGTGAATCAACATATACCTTCTCCCAGTCTGGACGAAGACTAATTGTCATCTCAGCATCAGCCAGTGCTTTGGTGAGTTTGACAAGGTTAAGAAAAGCTGCAGCACGATTGCTGATGCATAGTAGGATAAAAAAAAATAAAGGAGAGAAGTATAAATATACAAACATCACAAGGCAAGGCACCAACTTAAGAAAGCACTGGAATTTCAGCCAAGAACCTTGAATGGCACTACATTTGTTTGGAACAATTCAAAGGGTACCAGAGGTTTGACAGAGTTCACAGGAAACCCACCTCTTTAAATTTAGTAAATTAGACGGAAATTTTGTTTTGGTACAGTAAATTACATTCTTATAATTGAAGTTAGGAGTTAAACTTAATTAACTTTGTGCGCCTTTTACACAAAAAAATATGTGGCTTATCAATGTTGCAAAGTCCACCCAACATCAAAACAACTACAAAGGGTACAAGGCCTATTCGAGTTTGCTGTACAGAATGACGGAAGAAAAAACTCAGGATCATCTGATGCACAAAACTAAAGACCTAGGTACCCTTTAGGTTCCATCATACCTCAAGCGTAATGGCCGTAATCCATAGACATTGCCAAAAAAATCCTAGCACATGCAAAGTATACTTCAACAGCAACAAACAGAGTATACCTACTTCCTCAAACCTCAACTCGCTTAAAATATTTGAATCTACCTCTAGATATTTCAGGTTTTAAAAATCAGTGAATCTCAAATGGTAATTGAGGGTATTAGTTCATCAAATATACATTATGCTAATCATCATACAAGAGGTTGGCATGTCTTGAACTACAATATAAAAAGATAAGTGAATGGTATAAATTAGATTCCCTGCAAGCATAGTAGCATTTTTACAAACAATTTTGACAAAAAAAAAAAATTGTACATTGCCATGTTTTTTTTTTAATTTATCTGGAAAGTACACCTCACAATGCCTTCATCCATTGCAACTCCTTAGGCTAAGCAGCTGAGGACTTTTGAATTTCCTAAGGGCAATGACTTCCCAAGAAAATGTCTTGATTGATTATTAGGAAGTTGACTGTGCACCAGAACCAAAAAAAAAAAAAAAAAAAAAAAAAAAAAAAAGAGGGAGAGAGAAAAAAAGGAGATGAACCAGTGGGAAAATCAATGATAGAGATTAGAATCATTGAAAAACCGAGAAGGAAAGCGGTAAGATTTTAACTAGAAGAACCATAGTAGGGAACAGGAAAAATCTCAAGCACGGAAAGCAGATCAAAAATCAGCAGGTGGTGGTGGTTCATCAAGAGGAACAGTGATTAAGACACAAGAAGAACCTACCTCAAGAGTTAAGATTTCTATTGCCGGTAAGAAGCTCCAATTTCCCTTAAAGACTTTCTTATAAAATGAATATTACGGTTCAAATTCTTCTTGTGTACTTCCAGGCGGTTCCTTATTTTCACTGTAGCTAGGACAGTTCGATACAATGAGGTCATTGCATCAATGCATCATTCCTAAGCATGCTTTAAATACTAAGGTTGACCAATCTCATAATGATTATCCTTATAACTTACAACAGCTAATCTATAAATGGGCAAGAAGCCAAAACTAGAATCCACTGCACCCCTCCCCCCTCCCCACTTGGTCCAAAACATGGACATGCAGATTGCAGAAGATGCAATATATTATTTAAAAGTTGGAAAATTGATTATCTCCCCACAAACCAAAGAAAAAACCTCCTCTAGGAAACCTATGTAAATTAGTGTATCAGAACTTCAGAAGGATAACAAGATGTCATAGCCACCTTACACTCCTCAAAAGGAAATCAATTTCTAACTTTGACTTCTCTTCATCATACCTTCAAAATTCATCAATAATGACTGAACTGTGTATGTGCCTTGTTTTATCAAACCCCATGGCTAGAATTAGAGTGACTTTCCGACTGCTTTTATTCGGCCCAGAGTCAAACCCATAGATTCCATCTTTAAACAATTAAGAGGCTTCCGTAGGATTAGGCCAATATGTTAATGAAACCTACTATAGAAAAGGTATAACATGGATTACAAGGCTTCACAACTACATGTCAAAAAACAAAAGAGCAAACCTCATTCTCTATTTAATCAAGAAAAGCTAAGCCTTGTCCTCCTGTAGAAATGAAAAGCTAACATGAACACAGAGAAAAAGTATTTGTGCTTAGGACTTAGAATACAGAATTTCATGATTTTTAACTAAGTGTGAAGACTGTGAACCCTTCTCTAGTGAATAGCCAAATTTTGCATCATAATTCAAACTTGGTAGTTTTCTTTCTTCTAATAATCATTTCAACAAGCTCCAAAGCGTGTTAGGGATCAAAGGGAAAATTACTCCATGTCATAATCAATTATCTCTCCAGGTCAAAACAATAATAGCACAATTCACTGCCCAAAAAAAAAAAAAAAAAAAAAGAAAAAATCCCCATTTGATCGGTAAAGGTCCCAATGCTGGTACATGCACTTGCAGGTTCACCATTTCACCCACATAGACAAAAATAAAACAATGTAAGATAATACTTCGTATTATACAATCCAATTGATCAAAGAAATCATCGTCTAAATACAGCAATTGCCAATCAGCTCAACGGACGGAAGCAATTAGCAAAAGGTAAATTTCACACAGCCATTTCTCAGTTTAACAGAAAAAGTAACGAGCCAATAAAACATTATTCAATCAATCAAAGAGGAAAAGACATCATTGTAAAAGTTTGACAGTGTGTAAACCACCTTAACCAAATGAAGCATTCATAACATGGTGAAAAATTCATCAACACCATTCAGATTACTACTCAATCAGCCAAAAAAACATCATAGTCTGAATTCGACACATACTAGCCAGCTCAACTAAATGAAACAATCCTCAAACAGTAAACTTTCCAGGCCATTTCATACTTTAATTAACAGAAAATCTAGTCCAAAGACAACATCATCCGAGCTCGACAATCGCCAGCCAGATCAACAACGGAACAAACGAAGCAATCAGCAAACAGTAATTGTTACTCCAACAACATTTTATTAATAAAAGGCTAGCCAAAAACATAATTCTGTACAAATTCAAAATCTATATCAACAACTTACCCAAAAATGAACAATAGCAAAAAAAAGAAAAAAAAAGAAAAAAAAAAAAAAAAAAATTAAACAAAGAGAACAAGAGAAGTAAACCTATAAAGAGTAGCGTTATTAGGGTCCTTCTTGATGGCTTGAGTATATAAAGCAGCGGCTTTAAGGTAATTACCAGCTTTGAAAAACTCATTGCCTTGATCTTTGAGAGAGATTTCCCCAACTCCTGCTGCTGCTTCTGATCCCGCCATTGTTGTCCTTCAAGAATCCTCTGTTGGTGGATTACTTCTGTAAGTGTTTGATTAGGGGTTTAGGGTTCTTAGTCTTCTTACCAAATGATGGATCAAAATATTTTACTGTGTTTTTTAGCTTTTAGTTATGAGTTTATGACTATTGTGAAATTTTGTATTTTACCATCTACAAATAACTTACTTTTTAAAATTAACATCTAAAATAAATAATTTTAAATTATCACCCAAAAAAAAAAAAAAAAATCTTACTACTTTTCGTTAAAAACCCGTTAAATTTAGGGATTTGTTAAACATCGCCCACAAATTACTACATAAAGCCTACAAAATATACTTGGTTTGACAATTTTGCCCATTTGTGAAATGTTACCAAAAACGGAAAATTATGACATCAAAAAAAATCAAATTAAAAAAGACACTTGGTTTGACACTTGTGGCCATTTGTGAATCTTACCAAAAACGGAAAATTCTGACATCGAAAAATCGAATTGAAAAAGACACTTGGTTTGACACTTTTGGCCATTTGTGAAATCTTACCAAAAACAAAAAATTCTGACATCGAAAAATGTGGAGCCATATTGGGTCCCCGCGGGAGACCGGAGAGCCGAGGGACGCCAAAGAGCCCGTCGTCGTCGCAGCAAAACGAGGTAAATCATCGTCGGCGGCGTGAGCATGGACCACCACGTTTTAAATCCTTTTTTCAATTTTCGAGCTAAAAACATGCTCTTTAGAAATGATTGGAAATAACTTGTTTTGCGTGCTAAAAGATAACTTGTTTTGCGTGCTAAAAGATAACTTATTTTGCGTGCTAAAAGATATTTCAGTTTTCGTGACACACGTAAAATGAGTCATTTTCGCTAATTATTTGTCAATTTTGACTTCAAATTGGACCCTTTGAACAAAAATAACCCCTAAAACCTCTAAAGAGCATGTTTTTGGCACGAAAATCGAAGAATTTTTTTTATAAAATGTTAGATTTAAAGGTTTTGGTGGTGAAATCTAACTATTTAGTCTGGGTGATAATTTAAAACAAAAAAATAAAAAAAATTGGCTGGTAATTTCAAAAAGTGGGTTATTTTTTGGTGGTAAAATACAAAATTTCCTAACTATTGACTATGTTAATTCTATCCTTAAAATGACTATAATTATACAGTACTAACTTTTTATTAACTCAGTTTTTATTTAATTTTTATGTCAAAATTAATAATTGATTTTTTTTTTCTTATTTTTAAAATTTATTTTTTTAATTTTTTATAATTTCATAATTAATTTATGAATTTTTTTAATTTCAATAGTAATAAAAATGAATTTTGTAAATTTATTATGAATTTTGTAAATTTATTATAAATTTATAAAAAAAAATCAAAAATTATTTCAAAATTAATAAATGAATTTTTAAAATTAGATAAATAATTTATAATTAAAGAGAAAAAAAATTTAATTAAAATCAGCCAATAAAAAGATTAGTATAATGATAGTCATTTTAAGGATGACTACCATAGAATCATCCATTGACTATGGCTATTGAGGAGGCAAAAGTTTATTCTAATTTCGCAAACAAATCAACAAAAAAAAAAAAAAAAACAAAATACAAAGTATGTCGCGATTTTATTGCAGCTAGGGTTGTTCAACAATCAGTCCGGACTTGCAAAATGGACCAATCTGGTATCCGAGTCAAGAAATGTTAAAAATCAGTCTTTGGTTCTACCCGAAATCCCTTAAAATCAGTCTTAGTTGTTTAAAATTAGAAAAAATACACTTTAATAATTCCAACTATTGCCAATTTACTTCTAATAATCTCAACTAAGGTTTATTTTTTAATAATCCTAACTATGCCCTGAGTTTGCCTCCAATAGACCCATCCGATCAACACCAAGCCAATGACTTGTTGTCACAGGTAACCAATACACGTGTCAGCACGTGATTGGTCTAAATTAAAAAAATAAAAAATAAAAAAACAAAAAACCCTCACAGCCACCACCCCCTCCCCTTACGCCAGCGCAAAACACTAGGGCCAACCCCCAGCCCATCGAGAAATGGTCGGTCGTCTCCCGTAACCCTCGAAAATGGTCGGCCGACCCTTCCCAACCACAAAAACCACCTTAGCCGGCCCATTCCCACCCCCAAACCACCGAATTCGACCGTCGAAAACTCCCACTCCCAAACCACCGAATTCGGCCATCAAAAACAACCTTCCCACCATCAAAAACAACCCTCCTCCCTTCTCCAACCACCGAATTCGGCCCCCTAGGCAGTTTCGAGGGTGTAGGAAGGGAAGAGGAACGACATTGATTATTTTTTTTGTTTGTTTGCCGGCGAAGGGGGGCGAAGGGAGGAGAGTAGTTTAGGGGGTTGAGGTGGATCAATTGTGTGTTATTTGGGGGTTGGGAGGGCCGGCCGGCCATTTCGGGGGGTTAGGGAGGTGGTCAATCAATGGCTGGTGGTTTCGGGGGTTGGCTTAGGGTTTGACGGTGGGTGAAGAGAAGAGGGGGTGGCTGGGTTGGTTTTTGTTTTTTTTTTTCTTTCCTTTTTTTTATTTTAATATTAGGCCAATCATGTGTTAACATGTAGCATTTAAAAACAAAAAAACAAAAGTTTACCCTTTCAGCAGGTAACCGGTTTTTGGGTCTATTGAAGGTGAACTTAGGGCATAGTTAGGATTATTAAAAAAAACCTTAGTTGGGATTATTAGAAATAAATCGACAATAGTTGTTGGGATTATTAAAGTGTATTTTTCCTTAAAATTATGACTAAAACCTATTAAATGTTTAATTTTAATTTACATTTAATTAATAAGTTAATATGCTATTAGATTTTTATATTATAAGTAATTTAATTTCAGACATTCAAAATATGCATTAAATAATCATTTTGCTTATTTTAATTTTTTCATAAAATAATAAAAACCTACTCTGTATTATAAAATATAGACAAAGTTCAAAATTAGGTCTAGTCTAGTGTCTGGTTCTCGAATTTTAAAATTCTGGTCTTTGGTCCGATCTTGTCCGGTCTTAGATCGGTGAACAACCCTTAATACAGTCGTTTTCTAAAGTGTAGTTACACTTATTTCATCAACCCTTTAAAAGAGAGAATATGTGTTACTGTTATCGTGAATAGTAAATTGGCTCCATTGTCCTTATTCTCTCAATTTATTTGCGAATCTGCAGTCCTTTTATTATTTCTTTTTTTTTAAAAAAAAAACAAATTGAAATTACAGAAGAAAGAGAACGACAGAGAAGAGGTGAGACCATGTTCCTTGATTTATGGCATGAAATTGTTTGCATGTGTTTTAAGCGGTTATAGTTTAGGTGTTTTCTTTCTTTCTTTTTTTTTTTAATTATTTTTTTATTTATTTTTTATGGGTGGAATGTCATTCTATATATAAGGTCTGAATTAATTTAGAAGAAGTATATTTGCTCTTTCAATTCTACTATACTTTTGTTGTTCTCTTTGTTGAAGCTCAATCAGTGAAATTGATCAACCAATATTCAGATAATTTGCAATTACTACATTGTATAAGCATGCATTGCTTTTGTGCAAAGAACTTACCTTATCAAATGGACCAATATTATACGTAATGACTATGAACATTGCCATTTACTAAGATGAACAAATTATTGGATGGACATATATGATATTGTTTTGGATTAAAGCTTGTGTGTTTAGAAAAAGTCAAAAATTTATTTATTTCAAGTGATCAATTGATGCATGATCTTTTTGAGTGACATGCATCCATATAATGTTATTGATTTAAGTATATTTATTTACTTGTTAATTATTCACAATTCAATAATTTGGAGGAGGTATTTTGGTGAACATCATCTATTTTCTTCTTTGTTAAATTGGACATAAATGATATTGTTTTGGATAAAACTTGTTAGTTTTAAGAAAGTCAAAATTTTCTTTATTTCGTGATCAATGGATGCATGCTTTTTATGAGTTACATGCAACCATATAATGTTATTGATTTAGGTATATTTATTTACTTATTAATTATTCACAATTCAATAATTTGGAGGTATTTTGGTGAACACCGTCTATTTTCTTCTTTGTATGTTATTGGCTTTATATTCATTTATGGACTGTCAATAGTGTGCAATTAGTGTGTAATTTGTTTGTAATAAGTGTGTCCTATTTTTAGAATGTGGTTGTATGTTATTCATATGTGGGTTTGGAGTGTATGCATGTATCTTTTTTTGGGTTTTATGTGAATTTGTTTCTGGTTATTGATTTGTTGTGGAGTAGATCTCTAGATTGGTTTAGTTTAAGTTACTATCATAGTGTGATAAAATATTTTAGTGTACTGTAAATTGTGTTCTGAATTATATAAGGTGATTTTATGGACTTATATTAAGGTTTTAAAATTCATGACAGGTTATGGATGCACTGCCCACACAGGTAGTGATGCCATTTTTCCCTTTATTGAAGCAAGTTACCAGTTTACTGAATTATCTTGATCCGGATTATCAAATTCTCCATGACCGTGGGAGCACTGCTTGTGTGATTGTCAGGGCAGATAGTGATTGCATTCCCTGTGTTTATGTTGGTTGGGATACTGATAATGCAAAATCATGTGAAGTTGCTGCTGGGAAAGCTGTGTGTGATCTTGTGAAGAAGTATGAAATAGTTATTGAGGATGTAACGGCCCTACGAAAGGAAATGTATGATCGTTGTGGGCAATTGTATTGCTTTAAGAAAGAGGAACTATAACATATTGAGAAAGGAGAGCCTAAGGTCTGTGTGCATGAAGTTGTCTCTGTTGAATCTGAAAACAATCGCAAGAAGATTGTTATTGATTTCTTTGATGTGTTAAGGATTATTTTAAGGTCGGTTGATTTGAGGTGTACTCCGATTGAGACTATTGAACATCTTTCTGATCAGTATATTTCTTGGTTTACTGTTATTCATCATAAGAATAGTTCAAGCTTTCGTTGTCTATTTAGTGACTACTGTCCAGGTCCAGCTGCAGCTAAGCAAAATTTAGCTAGAAAGGTTGTTGATTATCTTATTGATGTGTTCAATCTTCAGATTGTGGATGCTAATTATAGGGAAACAACATGTAGGTTTGATGCTATATTGTGTACTTTGGATAGGGAGAGTTATTTAAGAGCCAAGGAACGTGTGTTGGGAATTAAAGAAGAGCTTGAACCTTCTGCACTTCTTGTTGAGCAAGATTGTATAACTTCAGTTGGAAAGGAGTTTCAAGTTCCTGTGTCTGTGTCACCTGATATACCTTCTAACAAGCGCTCTTTATGGTCTGTAGTTGGAGAAGGTTTAGATGCTAGCTTTAAGCGTATAAGGTTTTCAAAGGAC